TATAAAACGATTCCTTTTATATTTCTGCGGGGAGTTTCGGCCGTTGATTCCGTCGTACCGATTTTGACCCCAACAAATCCGATCCAGTGTATACCAAGCCCCAAAGCAAGAAAATAATGTCAAAATTAGGTTGGAAGTCAGCTTCGATTCCTTCAAACGTTCTAGGCAAGTGTAGTCTAATGGCAGGATGATCCACTTTGGTATCTCTAGTAATCTCTACAATCAACATTCCTAAGAATGGTGCTTATTGTGTGATTACTCAATAGATTAAAGTTTGATGATAATCCTCTTCTTGACTCTATGAAAATATTGAAAAACTTGTAGGAATAATAGATCGATATAGTAGATAAATAAAACTCAAAATAAATAAAAAGCATTAGCGAATCTCCCCCAGCCTTAAATGACATTGTCCCCAAGGTTATCTCGTTCTGGTTTGGTTTAGATAAAATAAATCATAAAGAAAAGTGTTAGGAAAGGTCGAAACTGATCTTAATGTCCGTGTAGAAGTGTCCATCTTCCAATCCTTGGAAGATATGCTTCATCATTGTTATTTGCGCTATTAGAGTGAAACAAGACAAGGAGATGTGAAGGCCAATCAAAGGAAGTGAAGGCCAACCATCTCCACACCAAACTGAAGAAGAAGAAGCAATCCAAGCCATGAACAAGCCTCAAGAGAGTGATCACACGGCCAAGACAATGACAAGATGATCAAGGCGTGTGTGCAAGAAGAGAAGGAGGCTGTAGAGTCATGAAGTGTGTTGCAAGTAATCAAGACTTGTGCAACAAGGAAACTTAGGCTTGCATAAGAATTCACATGGATTGCAAGAAAATGACCCAACAAATGAAGCTGGAGCACCAAACATGAAGCACCATGAAGAGGTCAATCAGAATTGATCAAACCGCCAGTGCCTTGTAGACCAAGCAAAGCCGTATAGCTCTCTCTCTTTGGGCCAACGAAATTAAACATGGAGAAGCCCAAAGTAAAGAGTGTGTGAAGCAATCAGATGGCGTGTGTATTGGTGTCCAGAAATTGCCTCCATAAACATTTGAGTTGAATTAAGTGGAGGTAAGCAAAGAGCTGTTGAGGAGCTGTCACTATCTCTTCCTTGTGCAAAAAACTCTCTTGTCTTCTTCCTCCTTGGCAGCTTTCTCAAGACTTGTTTATTTAGTTTCTAGGATAGTATTAGTTTAATATTGCTGTTCCTTTCTCTATTTGGTGTTGAACCCTTGTCATTTCTCCATAAATAGAGAGGCTCCCCATTGTAATGAAACACAAGAAATAAGAGATAAGCTTTCAGAAATTTCGTGTACCTCCATCTCCATTACTAAGTGTTTAGCAAATCATTCACATTGTAGAGGATATAGTTACACATTTTGGGTCTGCTTAAGGGCAGATCATTGCTTACCCATTCACTTCTAAATCAGTCTAAATTCTTCTTTAATCTCTTTCTAGTTTAATTCTAGTTCTTGTATCAATCTCACAGCCACTTTATCTCTCTAGATTCAGATGGTTGTATTGACTGTTTGTTGAGAGGATTCAATCACAAGTTGATTGTCTCTTCTATTCTTCAAAAGTGAGTTCATGTTCTTAGCTATTCTTAGCTTTTCCAACATGTGCAGCATATACTTCATTCAACTTATCTCAAATACTTTGGCAGTGACAAGGTGAGTGAGATACATAGCGTTCATCGATGCTCTGTTGGTTTCATGTTTCTTCAACTTTTCCAAAGCAGTCTTTGTTGCCCTCACCCTTCTCTGAGGGCGTTGAATATATGTTTGCATCATTCCAACTCTGGCATATGATGTCTCTGAGATGTCATACAAGCTTCTGGATGTATCTTCCTTCATCAAATCAAGAGAAATCTGAAAGTAATCTAGTTTTTCTTGTAGAAATTTCTCTGTTATCAGCCTTTCTTGGGACGATGTGTGTAAAGTGTCGATCGACGGCATAGTGTGTCCGTCGATGATGCCGGCTGTGCTGCTTCAATCGGTTGATGTTTCTGAATGATTTGATGAGTGTCATTCATCTCCTCCATGCATGTGATTAACCAGCCAATACTATTGTTGAGTAGGTGGTAAAGATCATCGAACCTCTTGTAATATTCATCCCTTCTAGGCTCTGTTTACTCCTTGTACCATGTTGTCAACCTCTGCTCTGTTGTATGTGGCATGTTTCTATCAATATACTCTGCATGTTCCGGTAGACGAATGCTGGTGTAGCCAATCATTGCAGCTCTTTCCAGATTTTTTTTGATGTCCTTCTTTGACACACTGATGATTTTGTCATCCATAGCTTTTGCGTTGTCATTCTCATCCCTGTAGATGACGTATTCGTCTCTCTTTCCCAACAAAATCTTCTTCTTCAATTGTCGTCAAAAGCTTTGTAACCATCTTCGTTGAGACCGTCGATCGATGCAAGGATGAACTTATCCATCGATGCTAGTTTTTCTGCACGGTTTTCATGTTTATGACCGAAGAGATTTCCTGTTCCATTAGGATTTGCAAGAATATCTACTATATCTTCTTTAGAGACATGTAGGATACGTTCATCCATAGCTCTTGCGTAACCTTCTGAATCTCTCAGTATACCGAATTCAGCTAGCCGTAGATAACCATAACTATCAAGATCTGCTACTGAAACTGATTCGGGCTCTGTGGTGTGTCCTCCAAAATCGATCGATGGTGTAAGGTTATAATCGATTGATGTTTTCATCCATTTTGCTTCCGTCCTTCTGAAATAGTGAGCTTCTTCTACTGTGAAAGCCACGGTGATCAAGTTCGTCCAGATATAGCTCACTGTAGTTCCGAGAAATCATATCGTGTCTTTGTTCAGGAGGCTCGTCGGTCGATGATTCTAGATGTGTATCGATCGATGTCTCATTCCTGGTTTTATGAGAAACTAAAAAAATGTGAGCTTGTTCAAAAGCGAGACCATGTTACTCGATGATCTCTTCCTTGCAGTAGTCGTCATCGTACTCGTTGTAAGCATGATCGTGATCTGAATATGGATGTTGAGTGTCGATCAATTCTGAAGGGTGGGTATTGATCAGTTTCTGAAATGCATGACCGTCGATCGATTGTATGGGATGGGTATCAATCAATTCTCCATCATCTGACTCCTCTTTCCGCTCAAAATCACAGAAGCATGTGCCAATGAGACCTGGATCATTACCCAATTCGATGAGAGTAGATCTATTCTTAACTTTAAGAGGTTCATAGTAATTATTCTGATCAATCAAAGAAAGATACAACCTGTTTCTTATCATGTCGCAGGCAGCTCCTATTGTAGCCATGAAAGCTCTCCCATGTAGTAGAGAAGAGTTCCAATCGATCTGGATATCCAACACGTGGAATTCTATTGGTACTAAGGCATTGCAAATCTGCAGTGGGACGTTTCTCACCATCCCTCTTGAATTCACTTTGAAGCAATCCACAAAGGTGAAAGAATCACTGGAAAACTCCACTTTTAGGTTTAGCTTCTCTGCCATAGCTATAGGCATAACGCTGACTGATGATCCAATATCACAAAGGGCATTGGGATATTAGTGCCCCTTGATGGAACATGGAATCACAAATTTTCCAGGACCACTTTTCTTCTTGATATTGATCCTCTGCTTCAATTTCTCTCTAAGGTGGTTGAACATTCTTTCTATATCCTCATTTGTCTCATTACATTCTTTGGTTGTCTCCAGTGATTCAACCACACTAACAAACTGAGTAATCTAGTATCACCTAGAATCACATACTTGGATCCTACATTACTCGACATGAAACTCAGATGTAACTACACCCCACTGAGAACATAATCTTCTTATGACACATGAAGAACAGCCTTTAATCTATTAATTAGAAAAAATGAGATGAAATTACTGAAAGTCCAACCATGACAGACCGTAAGACCAGTTTCTTGAAACAGGCCATCACATTGGGCTCCAGATGATCGAATTGACAGTCCCGGCTCAATGTATCCTCACCTTGCAGTGCATCACTGATGTAACGACCATACACCTCCGGGATAAGGTGCTCGCTCCTTAGCCAAAAGGACAGGATGAACCCGTACTGAAAGGTCGGATCTTGACAACCATACCGTAACCAATACATCAAACCTAGTTTCCAATGGCATGAAATTTTACCACCGAACCATTGCCAATGTTGAGATGTGGAGAATCACCGTGTACCTGTTGTAGGTTTCACCCCTTTAGTAGACCACTCTGTTGAAGCAAAAATCAGTGACACACCGTCCACGAGAACTGAGGACCAAATTATCTTCCATTGTTCGACACACCACTCCACTGATTGTCTTACCGTGACTCCAGATGGTAGATCTAAGGTGGAGGAGACCACCCACTAAATCACGCGCCGCCACAATAAGAAGATCACTGGAGATTTAGAAAAGGAAAATTGATCCAACGATTCATCTCAACCCTAAAAATCGACCTTCCTTACTTCAATTTTGTTAAGATTCATCGTTCTTCCAATATCATCTTGAAAGATCTTTTGACCTTCAAGTCTCCGAAAAAACCCGACGAACGAGAACATCAAATATATTGATTTAAGCAAAGATTAATAGAAAGGAGACAACGAATAAAAGAGAGAGACTTAGGAAGAGTTCTCTAGCACCGGACGAATTCAAGACCGGAGACGGTGGATCTGAAACTTTATATTTTAGAGAGAGAAATTTTAGATTTTACTCAACTGATGATTTTCTGATAATGTTACAGACTTATATAATAACCGGATATGTCAACATTTGTTAAACATATTATTGTACTGCAGAATTCTTTCTGATTGCAAACAGTTATTACTCTCGACAAAGAAAACAAATTTTATCCAAACGTAAGAAGAAATATTTGTATTTCCCTGGAAATAAATTTGGTAGTTTTCCGGAGGGACCGAGGGGGCATGGACCTTTTTTTGTTCAGGTATCACATGCCGTCTTCAGGAGCTGTCTAATCAATAATCAATTTATTTGTGTAATAAAATTATTTATATTATATAATTTACTGATCTTGTAAATAAACATCAAGAACTATAGACTCAATCTAATTGATTTAGACACAAGAAAAATTACATGTTGAAAGAAAAAAAAACAAGAAAAATTACAAGAGAAATCACACAAAAAGATCTCTATTTCCTAATGAAACTCACTTTACATACTTTCTGAAATAATTATTCTGATAATAATAGAAAAAATTAGCGTTAAGGAAGAAAGGTAGGAATAGAGGAAGTGAACTGCGACGAGTGTTGGTGATGTTGATGATCTTTCCCTTGATTCCCCGCCGTGGAAGCGTGACCGCACCGGTCACATCTCACCGGCGTAAGAATCCGCCGACAAGAAGGACACGAAGACCTAGAGACAAGCCATCTGTCAATACACGCCACGTGGAAGGAATGGCCACAAAGAGGAAGCACTCTGATCTCTTCACCGTCGGTGAACTCACTGAGACAAATCGCACATTCAGTTGAATCTCCACCGTCTTCTGCGGCGGTGCCGGAGGTTGATTCCGCCGCGGTGAAAGTAGATCTAGGGAGAGACTGGAGAGCTTTCTTTTTCAAGCCTTTGTTCGCCGAGGGTGAGTTTCCTCCGGTGGTAAACTGCCGGAGCCAAGCGCAGCGTACAACTGCGGCAAGGCCAGCTATGCATATGAGAGCGCAGAGAAGAGCCGACAAGATCACAACCATATCGGATTCCGCCGCAAGCATCTGCTCCGACGGTTGTGGTGGCGTTGCCGCTTCCGTCTCGAGTAGTCTTGACGGTCGAGTCATTTTTTGGTGTCTATGTGAGTTTGAAGACAAGAGAATGTGAGAGTGATGAGGATAAGAAAGAATCTTGAACCCTTGATCCACGTTATAATAGAGACACACAAAGATATATACATCTATTTCATTTTTTAAATATTTGCACAAGTTCATATAAATAAAATATTTTTATATTAAGCTATTAGATGAAATCCATATATTGGTAGTACTAAATTTAGAGCAATCAAATTTTTTTTTTTTTTTTGAAATCACAGCTCTTGAAATGATCTACAGCTATACAAGTGCTCTGTAGAGCCAAATATCCAAAGCAGTTTTTTAAAAACTGTTTTTTAGACCAAATAGGTTTGGATATTGTCCATTTAGGCTAAATTATATTTTGTACCAATTTTGACTCTAATGCCCTTTATGTATTTTCGAAATTATTTAAAAAAAAGATTTATGAAGCAAATTCTTTTTAAAAAATAGTACATAATGATGAAATCTCTATATCTATATAGTGATATTTTTTTCTTGTTTTAAAAATATGTAAATAATAATTTCATATATCTATTCTACCGAAATTAGAATATGTATTCTACGGATTAGAATACGGAATCCATTTTTTTCACTATTTCTACGAATTGCAGAATATGTTTTCTACGGAGATAACATGAATCTAAAATAGTTTGGAATACACATTCCACGCTTATCATATAGTTCTAAAAAGAGTAGAAGTTGAAATCTAAATTCGTACTTAAATCTAAGACAAGTAGAAGTCAGAATCTAAATTCGCACAACGTTCTAATACACGTAGAAACTGATTTCATATCTTTTTACACAGTTCTACGTTTAGTAGAATCTGAATTCTACGGATAAATATTATTAGATCCGAAAATATAGCAAGAATATCTTAGAAAATATTCTATTACCATATTTAAAACTCCATTTTTTTTTAAAAAAAAGGAAAATTCGATTTTTTTTTAAAAAAAAAGAAAATTCGATTTTAAAAAAAAAGAGAGGAAAATTCGATTTTAAGATTTTTATTTTTTAATTTTTAATTTTTAAAAATATAGCAAGAATATCTTAGAAAATATTCAATTACCATATTTAAAACTCCATTATTTTTTTTTTTTAAAAAAAAGAAAATTCGATTTTTTTTTTTAAAAAAGGAAAATTCGATTTTAAAAAAAGAGGAAAATTCGATTTCAAGATTTTTATTTTAAATTTTTTTTTTTTTAAAAAAAAGGAAAATTTGATTTTTTTTAAAAAAAGTGGAAAATTCGATTTCAGGATTTTTATTTTTAATTTTTAATTCGATTTCAAAATTCAGTTTCCTTCGTCTTTTTTTTCCCGATTTCAAGATTTTTATTTTTAATTTTTAACGATTTTTAAGTGAATTTAAGGGTATTATTGCCATTTAGAAAATATTTAGCCTAATGGGACAATAAGTTAATGAATTTAACCTAAAGGGACAATGTCCAAACCTATTTGGCTTAGAAAAACTAAGTCACAGCAAAAAATCTACAGATTTTTATCTATGGCAAAAACTTTAAAGCTACAGTCATTACCAATCGGACCCACTAGCGCATGAAAGTTTAGATGGAAGGGAAATAAATTAATGGCTGAATTAGTGTGAGATAAATTAATGGCTGAATTAGTGTTTTCATGCGATTGCGCAACTGCCTAATTCGCTAATCTGGTTACGGCTGAGCTCTAAAAGAAGCATCTAATAAATGTCCAACTAGTTTGTTGGAAGATAAACCATTTAAAATGGTATCTTTTGTGTATTTTCAACTTGATTATGAATTTTTTTTTGTGACTAATGAATCGATGTTTAAATTATCACAACTTGTTTCACTTTACTATACGTATTTAAAGAAGATAAAGAATGTCTATTAATGTTGCACAAAAGAAATAATATTGTGTCAGTTAAAATTGTGCGTAATAAGAACATCTTCATTGATGCTTCATTTGGAGGAAAAAGCATCAAAAATGAGGAGATATTTTTTTTAGTATTATGTTATTTTAACAGAAAAATTAAATTTGTGAATAGTACTTCTTCAAAGAAAAGATTTTCCTTCATTTTATGTTAAGCTTTTTATTTATATACTAATCTTCGAATTTTTATATAATTTTATTTTATATCTAAAAATTCAATATTTTTATACTTAGAATATTATAAATATTTTCATAATATAATAATAAATTTCTATAAACTCTTGTAGCTTTTTTTAGAAAACTTAGTACATAATGAAAATTTAATTATTCTCTGGGTAAAATTTATAAATTTTATAAACACTAAACAATATTTTAGAATTAATAATAAGTAGTAATACTATAATATATTTGAAATTTTAAGGAAGAAAATATGGTGAATTATTGGAATAAACACACAAATTTATTTCTTGTTTACATCATTTTAAAGAAAAAATGATATAAATTATTTGAGAATGTCCTCAACACATTTCATTATTAAATTTCTGTTTTTTTGGTCAAATAGGGATATTTAATGTCAATTCGCAATTCATATACTGGAATTGGAAGGAAACTTGGAGTAAAAAATAAAATAGAAGAAAAGATGGGTAGGTAGGTTGCCTTTTTAGGTTCAATTTTCTCCGACCAGATTACCAAAAAGTATAAGCAAGTTTCTTTCTTACTTTCTTTTTTTGACAATTAGAAAATACTCCATCCGTTTCGATTTAGTTTTCATTCTAGGTTTTTGCACACAGATTAAGAAAACAATTAATTTTACATATTTTCAAAATAAAAACACAATTACCTATACACCTAACCACTTTTCAACAAATGAAAAAAAGAATGACATTTAAAATCAATAAATTTTGCATTGGAATTATAAAACAACACTTACGAAAATTTTACTCTAGAATTACATATAATCTGAAACAGAGGGAATATTATACAAAGAGTCGCATTTACATTTATTAATAACAGTATAGTTAACCATACAAAACCATATTATAATTAATGGTCCTTATTCTTTTCTATTTTTTTGTTTAGTTTTTTCTTAAATAGAACCGAGCTTCTCAACTTTGATCCTTTTCTATTCTGCTAAAATTCATTGAGCCATGTTTGAGGTGAAAATGGTTTGAAACAATATAAAGAGAGAGATGAGGGCAAACAAAGACGTTTTTATTAGATCTGAACAAGGAGTTACAAAGAGAAGAGTAAAGAGGCGGACTAGCCGGAAGTACAAGATGGTGAGTAAACGGGAGGGTGACTAAACAAGAAGGTGACTAAACGAGAAGGTGACTAAATAGGAAGGTGAGTAAACGAGAGGGTGAGTAAACCCTAGATCTAACCACCTAGTCGCTAAGAAACCCTAGATCTAGCCGCCAAGTGAGTATGTCGAATTCCGGATCCCCTTTTCCCTTTGCTGCCTCTCTCCTTTTATAGATCCAATCTTCGTGTTCGCCCTAACTTACCCTAGCCTTGTTGGGCCTTATTACCGCTAGGCCCGTTTAGTAGTTCGGGTAAATCGTACTTCCGCCGACTCTTCTAGAACACATTTAGTCGCGCTACTAAACACGTCTCATACCGAGTCGTTTTGGTGTCACCCGGTGGGCCGAGTGTATTGTCAGACTGGGCTAAGTTTCCCTCATTTGATGGGCCTTGTGGAGGGGTATAACCCATCTCCTACAATAAGTCCCCCCAGTTCACTTGTGAATCCGTAGGATTCTAAGTGAATTTATGGATCAGGTTTGATCAGATGGGAAAACTTGCAAGANATGCACGTTTAGGCGACACCTCCGACGCGTCTAGTATTGCGGCTAGAACGTCGATCACAAGCGCGTTTAGGCGACACCCCGAACATGTTTAGTCTCGCGACTAGAACGTCGAGCATGAGCGTGTTTAGGCGACACATCGAGCAGGTCTAGTCTCGCGGCTAGGACGTCGATCATGAGCACGTTTAGGCGACACTTCGAGTAGGTCTAGTCGCGCGACTGGGACGTCGATCATGAGCACGTTTAGGCGACAACTCGAGCAGGTCTAGTCTCGCGACTAGAGCGTCGATCATGAGCGTGTTTAGGCGACACATCGAGCAGGTCTAGTCTCGCGGCTAGGACGTCGATCATGAGCACGTTTAGGCGACACTTCGAGCAGGTCTAGTCGCGCGACTGGGACGTCGATCATGAGCACGTTTAGGCGACAACTCGAGCAGGTCTAGTCTCGCGACTAGGACGTCGATCAGGAGCACGTTTAGGCGGCACCTCGAGCAGATCTAGTCTCGCGACTAGGATGTCCTCTGTTGTCGCGTAAATGCACCGGTTTGGGCTTGCCTGGTAGTGCGACTAGCCTGTCAGTCGCGAGAGCATCTAGGCGACAACTCGGGCGCGTCTAGTCTCGCGACTAGGAAGTCTCATGTTGTCGCGTAAAGGCGTCATGTTGAGCTTATTTAGTAGTATGACCGAGTTGATGCGTGTGAGGGTGCGTTTAGGCGACACCTTGAGCGCGTCTAGTCTCGCGGCTAGTGTGTTTCCTATTGCTTCATAAAGACATCTGAATCATTAACTAAGTTATCACTCGTGGAGCAACACTTAGTCTGAGTAGATCTTCTGAGTTGAGAGGCACATTCAGCCTCTTAACCGTCTTCTGGTTCAATCTCTATCGCTGCTTGGTTTAGCTCTGGTTTAATCTCGGTTGGGGTAAACCGGTATCTAGGGTTTAACCAAACTGGATTAGGTTAAGGGTTAATAGATCTTGGATAATCTCCTGGGTTTTTGCAGTTAATGGGCTTATTTAGGCCCGTTTAAATGCATTAATTGCACTTAGAGAATCGTGCCTCTCGACTTTGCTATAAATAGG